ATGTAGAAAAAAAAAAAAAAAAAAAGGAACTCTTAAGAACCTCCTTCTAAACATGTTCTCTTTATAGTCTTTCCAGTATTAACCATTTTCCCAGTGTCACTGGTCAAAAATGTAAATATTTTTCTTCATTCTTCTCTCTCTCAAATCCCACATCCAATCCATCACCCAGCCCTGACTTAAAAAACAATACCTGTGCAGTTACCTCTGCTGCCGTCACCCTCCATGCTGCAATCTCTTGTGAATGCAGCAGCTAACAAGTCTTCCTGCTTCCTCACCTTTGCTTCCCTACAGACCTTGCTCCTTAAAAATCACCTGAAAGAGCATTAACTATTTTAAATTGGAATGTCCAAAGACTCAAGACTTTCTAGAGGCTTCCTGTTACACTCGAGATAAAATCTCCAACCCTACTGTGGCCTCAGAGGTTTTCCACGATCTGGTGCCCGCCTCTCTAATCATCCACCTCCCCTCATTAGTTTCTCTACCTGCATGCTGGCCTTGATGCAGTCCTTGAACATGTGAAGCTTGCCCTTGCTTCTTGGTCTTTGTTACTGTTCCTTCTGCGTGGCACACTATTCTATTGCCTGCTTAATTTTTCTTCATGGTACTTGTGCTACCTGAAATTATACCATTTATCCTTTTTCCTCCTTTAGCTTATCTAATGCCTACTTTCCTACCAAAAACAAATGAAAAAATAAGAGCAGGAGCTTGTTGTCAGTGCTAATCCTCAGAGCCTCCAATACAGAGGTGTTCAATGAATGTTAGCTGCCAAGTGTGGTGGCGCACACTTGTGATCTCAGCACTCTTGAGGCTGAGGCAGAAAGATGGCCACAAGTTCAAGACCAGCCTGAACTACAACACAGCAAGACCCTGTCTCAAAAAGCAAAAGCAAATCAATGAATGTTAACTGAATGAGTGGTTTAAAATTTGGAATCTATTTCTCTATAGTCATTAAAACTTCTTATGAAGCCAACTGAATATATTATTAGTTAAACTTTCAAATATCATCCTAGAACTAACTCCTAGAAACACTGGGATCATGCTACAAGAAAGGTAAAAATGAGAGTCTTCTATCTTCCAGTTGTGGCTCAGCATGTTTCTCCCAAATAAGACCTAACTAGAGATAAAAAACACCAGCCCCGATCAGCCTATCCTTGTGTTTGTTGCCATGAGAGCAGCCAATGAACAAGAGAATAGTGAGGTACTGTATAATCTTCTGCATGACATGGGCCATCACCATGGTAATGATCAGCTATTACTTATAGGTGAAATTTATTTTCCAGTAAGGTTATTTTCGGGGAAACACGGTATATCCCTCAGATCTCCCTTCAGAGCCTTCTGTGTTCATTGGTGGGACTTTTGGGAAGTGGCTGGATCATGGGTGTGCAATATTGTATCATGGGTGTGATATTGGTTTCACATAGTTCTGGGTGGGGAAATGGGAAGCCCCACCCCTGGGGTGGGTGGCACCAACCAATAGGCTTGTAGCCTGAATGGAATATAGAGGGAGATGGAGAGTCCTGCCTACTACCTCCTTTTCGCATGCGATCTTGCCTTGGAGCCAGCCGACTATGGACTGAAACCTCTACCAACTGTGAGCTAAAATAAACCTTCCCTCCTTTAATTTGTGGATGTCCGGTATTTTGTCCCAGTTATGAGAAAGTAACTGAGATACTTCCTGAAAATACCTGGGTAAAATGTACAATAGGAATTTTACCTATTTGGCATTTTACCCCCTTTTAATGCTCCTGCCACTACGTTGTCCTGAGCTTCCACTTACGAACCCGTCCAACTGGCTTAGATGTACAGTTTCCAGCCCTTTCCCCTAATTTATTTTTCTTTGATTATCGCAACCCTTCACGATCTGTACCTATTTTTTTAAAAAAATGTGTACTGAATACATAATTTATAATTGGATTTGGGGCATCTGTACAGTGATGTGGAAAAAATACAGAGTGAATACAAAATACCTGTTGGGCTGAAGAAATAACCACAATCATTTTTTGCACATATTAGGCATTAATAAATATTGGTTAAAGGATTGATTAAGCGAAAGCAAGGTCCCAGTGTTTCTTTGGGTCAGCTCCCCTAAATGGTTCTTTTCTCCCCCATGAGGCAGAAGTTATTTTTAATAAGGGCTCGCTCAACATCAGAAAAGGGTAAAAAAGAAGGTACTCAATGGGGGAAAGGCAGAAAAGGGAAATATTTTTATAGTTTATAGTTTAATATTTTAAAGTAAGTTTTGGGCTTTTTTTAAAGAACAAATTTGATTCATCACTAACAGTACTAAAGCCAGGTGCAATTTAAGACAGTAAAAACAATATATTTTGGAGAAGAAATATTTGTTATTTAAAGCCAGCGGATTTAAAAGCTTTCAAATTTTGTAGCTTTCTGAAAGGCAGCAGCTGAGAAAGAAAAGAGACTTCCCAGGTGGAAATACAAAGGAAGATGGAAAGCAAAACAGGTCCTCAATCTCTACTTAGCACCAGAAAGCACCTGCAGACACCATTAAACCATGTACCCTTGGCTTTACCACACGATCTGTCTGATTAATTCTAAAGGGTGAAACAGCTGTAGTTTAAACAATTGCCTGAGGTGATTCTGATAGGAATGGGCTTGCAAACAGTTATAAAGGTTGAGCAAGCTGCGTGCAAAGGAAAAAGACCCAAATCAACACCAAAGTAGGGAATAGAAGTGAGAGAACAAATCCTAGCCAAATTTAAGAAATAAACAGACTGTTGCTTTACTGGACATGAAAGATGAAAAAGAATCGAGAGTCTACCAGGATTATATCTGTGATGTTTAAAAGTCTGTATTAAAATTCTGAAACATTGGAGTTTTGTTTTGAAGATGAATGCTGAGAAGTAGGATGGTTCTTAAAATGCTAACTTCAACTCTGGCTACATTGACAGCTTACAGGACTGTCGCGAGCCGCGACGTCAGGATCCTGCCAGCAGGTCCTAAACCTGAAAGGATGAGGACAGAGAGACGGGAGGCACCTTTCTTCTTATGTTGCTTGCTTTATTACAGAACCTCTTCCTTTTATACTCTCCAGCTGCATGGGAGCGAGGGCTACACGGGAGCGAGAGTACCGCCCACACATTCCAGAGGGAAACAATAACGACCATTATGGGTTACATCTGCTACTAGCTGAACTCGCCCGTGGCTATGGGCGAGAGCACCTCCGTGCCAGCCAGGTGACGCAAAGTTCAGTCATGGCTAGGCCTGTGTCAAGGCTCACCGTAATGGCTCGCCATACAGGACCTTCGAAAGAAATGTCCAGAAAGCACTCACAAATAGTCTTAGTGTTAAACGATATGCAAGAAATGCAGACAGAGGTAGGGGAACTGTAGGTATCTTGGTGATAGCTGAAGCGTTAAAATTTTTAAAAAAATAAAAGCCAACAAGTATTTGTTTAAATTTTGCTACTGATTCACCACTCCCATCAGCGCGAAAATGCATCAGCTGGGATAAGAGGCTCAGGTGAACCAGCTAAATCTCCCTTCTCTGGCAAAGCATTCTCTGAATGCTGATCCTGTTCTTTAGGATCTCGACCCAGCAAAAGTCTAATACGGAGAACGCTGATGGACGTACACTTCCACCTCACAGCTCCACAGTACAGAGATCTCCTCTGTTGGGATCCTCACTCCAGAGCGGGTATGGCGATTAGAGCCCAGAAACCGAAAGAGCCAGATCCCCATTCCGTCTAAGGAAAGAAGGCGGCTAGGCGGACCAGGATGCTTGGTTAAACCTGGAGACTTCCGTGCACCGAGTCCGCGAATCCTTCAGCCCTCCCGAATCCCCCATCAGGCCGGTTCCACTCACTTCTCCAAGGGTCCGGCCCAACATGATTCTCAGGTTCAGCCTGTTACCCCAGACACCAGGTAGCAAAGAGGAAAAAGAGGTCAACAGCTGCAGCTGGTATTACTGGGCGCAGCCATCTTTGATTGTCAAAGGACCTTTCAACACCGAGCGCTTGGATTGGTCAAACTACAACCCGAGGACAAGATCTTTGCATATGATTGGTTGGCGCTGAAAACCCTCATCGGTAGAGGAGAGCGGGCTAGCAAGGAGACTCCGGGCTACGGTCGCACCGGGAATTCAGAAGTGATTGATTTTGCGTGGCGTTGGACTCGGAAGCCAGGTCTACTTGTCTTGCTGAAAGCTCCCAGGACAGGGATTGGGGTGCGGTGGTGGGGTTGCACAGCTCCGTTTTCCTTTTATTTTTCAAAGGGAGAAGGGGGATAAGGCAGGAAAGAGAATGTACAGAATACCGACTAAACGTTAATTTTTGATACGAAGAACGGAGTAGCAATTCCATACTCTTCCTTCTGTTGCTCCACTAGGTTAACTTCACTTTTGAATGCTCAATTTTGAAATTGGCTAGTGTGTTTAACAATTTGATCGAGTTCAGGGGTGAGCGTTTGACACATCTAAGTGCATTTTATTGAGCGCTATTCAGTCACTTTTCACGATGGAGGTTTTGAAGACTTGTGTACTTAGAAGAAATGCATGTACTGCGGCTTGTTTCTGGAGAAGCAAAATTGTACAGAAGCCTTCCGTTAGGAAGATTAGTACTACCTCTCCAAGGAGTACTGTCATGCCAGCTTGGGTGATAGATAGATACGGGAAGAATGAAGTCCTTCGATTCACAAAGAACATGATGTTACCTATCATACATTATCCAAATGAAGTTATTATAAAAGTCCATGCTGCAAGTATAAATCCTATAGATGTTAATATGAGAAGTAAGTTTTCAAAAGACATTTTCTTATCTTTAAAAAATCTTTAAGTGCTTAGTTTTTTTAAAAAAATCAAATGTTTGACTACGCTTTGGTTAACACTTGGAATCATTCAGGTTTTTTATAACACCTCTGCAAATGTTATCTAAGAATTTTGAAATCCCAATAGCCATTATTCTTTAATCTTTTAGGGAATATTTCTCTCTATGCTTTCTTAAAATGCTAAGTTGGGACTTGATAGTTGTGTCTAATGGGTAACTTGGTGTGCTTCTCAGAACTTTGTAGTAATCTGAGGCCCCACACAGTAGTATGTACTCACATCAGTCTAGAATGTGCATTTTTACAGTAATTTCCATCCTTCTTGCTCTCCCATCACTAACAACTTTCTTTATTGGTCCAGAATACTAAGCAGCTGGACTCTAGGGTATGGGCACAATACTTTGCTCATTTGTTACTGCATTTTGCCCTCAGCACTTTCCCATTATGTTTCTTTCCAAACTGAAATAATGTTGATCATCTTATTTCCTGCTGGGATTACCGACAAAGCTTGGAGAGCCATATGTTCTTTAAATATATACTGTATAATAATTGTATTATGTTGCTGAAAATATTTGAATTCAAGTTTGGAAAGTACTAACAAAATATTGTCAGTCTTGCTTATGGAAACTCATCCAGGTCTTCTGAAGCTGAAAAACATCTTTTAGCATGATTAACCTCAGTGTTAATCACAAAGCAGTTTGCTTTAGTGTTTTAAGTAAGCTTACATAGGCAGTTTAATTTAGCCCTTGGTTATTGATTTTCTGGGTTTGTGTGTAGAACTATAGTTACATTGAACAGATTGCCTCAGTAACAGTTCTCATATATGACTGATGTATGGTGAATTTTTTGTGTGTATTCAATTGTAAAATTAAGATAAATGATAAAATCTTGGCCATTTTGTGGAATTTAGAAGCTTATACAAATGTTAAGACTTTGGTTCCTTTTCCTTCTCTTGTTTTCCAGAAGTTATATTAAATTACTAGCAGTTTTCACATTTTTTGGTCAAAACTTAAAATTACTGGATTATCATCTGAGCTGTACTATCAATAAATATACAGTAGTATTATAAGATGAGATCAGGAGAAAAATGTAAAATGACATGAAAAGGACAGACAGTTACATCCACGAAAGGCCAAAACTGGAAGTAGCTAGTAAGAGAACCTGGATCTGCCTTCAGAAAGTTACAGTTAAAAATAACTTTTGAAAAATAAGCAGAAGAAAAATTTAGTGTGACTAGCATTGTTTCACACTTTTTTATCTCTCTGCTGTATGGTTTAACAAGGCAGCTGGGTTTTCATATGTGCTTCTATATTCCATCTGTTATGGTATGTTATTTGAAGTAACGAAGAAAAGCCAGCCCCACGAAAAGATTATTGCAAAGGAAAAACTGACTAGAGTCCTTGAGAAGACTGGGTCATACCACACTTGGAGGGGAAGTTCTGGATTAGGGAAATAAGATAAAATCAGATTCACTGGTACTGGATTGTTTACTCCAGTTTCAAATGGTGCTGTACTTAGTGACTATCTAGACCTGTGCTTTGAGTATTGTAGTCCCTAGCCACACATGGCCATACGCAGTGAATGTGGCTAGTACTCACTGAGAGGGTGATCAGTGTAAAATACTAGAGTCCAAAGACTTGGATAAAAAGAGTAAAAAAGTCTATTCAGAACTTCATATCAGGACTGGGGCAATACTGCTCAGTGACAGAGTGCTTGCTTTCTGTGCATGAGGCCCTGGTCTTGATCCCCAGGACTACAAAAAAGCCAATGAGAATTATGTATTGATTACATGTTAATCTGATAATCTTTGTTGTAGCTTGCATTATATTTCTATTGGACAGTGCCTATCCAGATAATATGATGGAATAACTATTAAACATTTCTTTAAGGAAAGAGGTTTGGCAAAAGATTTTGGAGGGTTTTTTTGTTTTGTTTTGTTTTGGAGACCAGGTCTTGTTATGTAGTGCAGGCTGGTCTTAAACTCGCTATGTAGGCCAAACTCATGGTGATCCTCCTGCCTCAGCCTAAGTGCTAAGATTACAGTTGTGCACAACCATGCTCAGCTAGATTTTGGAGTCACTGTGTTTGTGGTTAGAGTGCCCTATTAAAAATTAATTGAAGCTGCGTGTGGTGGCACATGCCTTTAATCCCAGCACACAGAAGGCTGAGGCAGGAGGATTGCTCTGAGTTTGAGACCAGTCTGGGATACATAGTGAGTTCCAGGTCAGTCTCAACTACATAGTGAGACCCTGTCTCAACCCCCCTACACACACCAAAAAATTGAACTATGATTGTTTTGATGATGTCTGCATTTGAATATTTTGCTTTTGCAGTGCTGGGTGGCAGTCCCAGGGCCTTGTGCATCCTAGCCAGTCACTCTACCACTGAGCTGTATCCCCAGCCCTGTAATTTTGTTTTGAAGTAATAATTGTTACTATTAGTTGGGCATGCTGTTTTGCTTTATTTTTTTAATCTGTTTCCTTTTACATCAGGCTTGAAGGTAATTTCATTTTATAAGATCCACATATACAGTCTGTGAAGTATGCCTTTGTTTCAGTAGGATGAATGCATCTGGACTTTTCTTAGCTGCTGCTTAATAATATAATACTGTAGCATATTTTGCTTCTGTGTAGTATTCTTGAGACATCTTAGTGTTTTACAACTTGACTGGGTAATGTTATTTGCAAGTTATCCTCGTTATGAGTTTTTTTTTGAGAAAGTGTTATTGTTGTTGCAGAATATATGTGAAATGAGAACTCAGGGAAATAAAATAAGAAATAGAAGATTGTAAAATTTCAGAAGCGCTCATTTCCCTTGACAAGAAAGAAAGAGACATATCTCTTTTGAAGGATGAAAGCTTGCTGTTTTTCTGAAGATGGTCATTACTGTTAGAAGATAATAAATCATAGAAATGGTTAAAGCAATGAATAATTTTAAAATAGAAAGATAATACAGCCAACAAACTTGGTTTCTTTGCATGAGATTAAAGTCTTTGAAACCAATGACAGATTTAGGGTTTTCCGAATCAGCTCAACTCTCTGAACAAATCAGGCCTGTGGAATGAAACTCTTAAGGATCCCATTCCTTTGTGCTACCAAGCAGGTTCTTAGTTACTAACTGCCAGCTGCTGCATTCTGGATCTGGGGTTAAGTTCATTACCATTATTAGCCAGGGCTATATAGTTGATATATTGGCGTATTAGGGTTACCAAGAACATTGGAAAAACAATCTTGAGCAGCCAGCCCTTAACCTTAGGACTGAAACCTTTTTGTAGCTAAACTTTTTCATGGCTAAATGTCCACCTCTGTTGCTTCAGTCATATACAGGTTTGTGAGTAATTGTTTATATTTTAGCAGTGGAAAAGGGATGTAAGACAGGAGAAGTGAGCGTGCGGTTTTTGTGAGTATCCCATAATGAACTTCTTTTGTCCCCTATGTAGTACAGTCCTAACTAGCCAGATGGCAATGTGTGATGTTGGCATAATGACCGTCAGCTTAGCTTTTCTGGGATGTCCCAACTTTGAAATACTTTATCCCGTGTGTCTTGATTTTTCATTGGAAAAACATCTTCTGCAAACTACCCACCTGTCAGTGTCTCTCCCTGTCTCTGTCTTCCTTCTGCATTAGCTCTCATTGCTCCCAAGGCCAACCCCTTATTTGTGTTATTTTCCCTCCTCCCCATCCCTTCTCATCTACTTGGGGCATCACTGCAGCAGTGCTTTCCTGCATCATCAATTTTTTCCTTTTTACTGGATTGTTACCATTGACATACAAATTTTCAATTTTTCCCTCTTGGAAAAAAAAAGCCACTGAAAAACCCTCTTTTCATCTTCGTTGTCCCCTCCTATAGCTCTATTTTCTTGCTTTCCTTAACTATCTGGAAGAGCTGGCTCTTAGTTTGGTTCCTTCCCATTGTCCCTGAAGCACACCATACTGCAGCATCTGTTCCTAGGATATTCCTCATCCTCCAGAGGTAGCGTCACGCTGCCTGCCAGGAGTGGGCGAGGGCCAAGGGGAGGCCTCACAGTAATTCTGGCATCCATGGTGGAATAGGGAGAGGTATATGACCCTGGAAAGGTAGGCAGGGGTGCCTCAGGAGAGCCTCACATAGAAGGGGACTGGTCTCAGAAGCATGTCAGGCAGAAGAGAAAACAAGATTCTTTTGTGTTTTAGAAAAGTCACTTTATATATTGAAGCTATATGATAAGTTACTTTGGATTATTGCAGTAGAATAGCCAATTTATTTGAACAAAACCCCTTATTACAAAAATGTTTTCAGCTTTATTTAGCTGATATTTATGTAAATATTTTTAAAAATAAGAAAGATACAACACAGAGCAAGTGTCCTGATTTACTGTATCAGAATAGGTGGATTGCAGTGGATTTTAAGCACTCGGGAATCTCTGTGCTTACCCTAAAGTTATTATTCTAGAAAGATTTTATTTTCAGAGGTGGGGACTAGTTTTCAATGACCATTGTCAGGATCAAGTACTTTATACCAACATTTTATTAATGGGCTTTTCTTTACCAAAGTTGGCACCAGATGTCTTTATTATTTAAAAAGTTCATGAATGAATACATTATTAATGATGTCATCTTAAAAGCGCAAAATTTATAAAATACCGAAAATTTTGAGGACAGTTTCAAAAGCTGAGTTTCAGAGAGATTTTGAGCAGTGGTGGTGTTGGTATGGACGGGCGATTGTGACTTTCAAAGTAATTTTCTTTGACTGGAACAACATGCATTTTTATGTTTTCCTGTGAAATGGCAAAAAAATCAATTAGCTAATTATTTTATAACCTATATTGTAAGACTCTAACATTTATATCTGGCATGTAACCCTATAATTTTTAAATCGTTCTGTCCTTCTGGAATAAGTAGATAAATTGCGTTTTGTAGGTGGTTACGGAGCAACAGCCTTGAACATGAAGCGTGATCCTTTGCACGTGAAAATCAAAGGGGAAGAATTTCCTCTAACACTAGGTCGGGATGTCTCCGGTGTGGTGATGGAGTGTGGGCTTGACGTGAAGTATTTCAAGCCCGGAGATGAGGTGAGTTAATTCTTTTGTTTTAAATTCTTTGTTCTATTTCTAAATGTACAAATGTGATTCTTTTGGAAGTGTATTTTACATTGACCATTTGTCATCTTTTCAATAAAGGTACTGACCTTTGGCTGGAACCTTCATGTTCTTGATTCTGTTACTTTTTTTTTTTTTCAAATAATTAAAAAGTTTCTGTGTATGATGGTTCATACCTGTGATCCTGGATACTTGGGATGCTGATGTGGGAGGATCACAAGTTTAAAAAGCCAGCCTGGGGCAATTAAATGAGACACTGTCTCAACATGAAAATGTAAAAAGGGCTAGGGATGTAACTTCGTGCTCCCCAGGTTCAATCCCCAGTACTGCAAAAACAGAACCAGAAAAAATCCACAAACTTGCGCTGTAGTAACTTTTTGAACTGTTTGATTTTTCTTGGAAAAAGCCTTTAAATGACAATTTTTACTTCATGGATGAGATTGTTTTAAAATAGCTAAGGTTTGGTGTAATCTTTTTCACTTGTCACTTTGAACCCTTGTGCCAGGAGATTGTAGGGAGCCCATAATTACAACCAGTTGTGTCCTGGTTGCTTTTTAAATAAAATAACTGACTTAATCCCTAAGAGATGGGTACAGTCGGGCCCTATTTACAGATGAGGAAGCCAAGCTATAAAAAAAGGTCCCACAACGAATTAGTGGTAGAGCCCCAGAGACGGCAGCCTTCAAGTCAGTCCAGCATATTGTACCGGCATCTGCTTGCATAGTGGTTTGGCTTGATACATCCTGACTCATACTAAGAAATTTGTATCATGTGAGAATGATTCTTTGTTGGTGTACTACAGAGTGAAGTTGTGTTAGGGAACACCTTCGTACTTCGCTTGGGTCGGAAAATCCCTGTCTGTAGTGAAATTGTGTGTCTGTGTGCATTTCAGGTCTGGGCTGCAGTTCCCCCTTGGAAACAAGGCACTTTCTCGGAATTTGTTGTGGTCAGCGGGAACGAGGTAACTCATGATCTCTGCTGAAGGACCATGGGGACATAGAGGCTGACAAATGTCTGACGTCACTGGTTGTTTCTCAGATGATGCTCATGTTTTATGGGCAGTTTTGGAAAAGCTAAAATAAAGACCGGGAATTTTGGAAAGATGCAAAAAGGCATTTGATGTCACTTTAACAGAACTGGTGACCAGAGAGTCTCCGTCTTGTGGGACAGAAATTTGGAATGAGATCTAGAACTGTGCTGTGTTTTTGTTTGTTTGTTTGTTTCTTCTACCAAGTGTAAACAGTTTGAAAACAGATTTATCCCATGGATAGTATGGGTTAATCATAAGCAGAGCTATGCAAGTGTCAAGCTGTTTTGAACAACTTTAAAGACGAAGGTGTAGTTGGCATGGTAGCACATGCCTATAATCGGAGCACTCGTGAGGCTGAGACAGGAGGATCACTGTGAGCTTGAGGCCAGATTGGGCTACACGGTGCGTTCAAGCCCAGCCTGAATTACACAGTGAGATCTTGTCTCAAAGAACCCCCCAAAAGAGGCATGTAATCAGGTATGCATTTTGAATAGAAAGGGAGAGGTTAACGTTGGGGAAATTGGTCACCAAAGGAAGGCAAGAAAGGGGAAAGGGTATCACTAGGATTGGAGAAAATATGGGAAAATTACTTTTCAGAAAAGGTGAGCAAAGGAAGTAGTTGTTCCCCAAAACAAATTAGAATGTGTTTGAAGATTTAAGGTTTAATGGTTTTATTTTTAGATATAGTTAAGACTAATGAGAATATTGCATGTGGCCTTTTTATAAATGATGAAATAGCTAAATTGGATAATGCATCCTGCAAAATATTACTGCGCCTTTGTGAGGTGGGTGGGTAGAGAGCTACTTGGAGAGAATATTCCTTAGGGATAATCTTGGAATAGGGTGTGCAATAAACACTGAACCTGGAAGATTTTTATAGATTTATCTCTGAAAACAGTAGGACTGTAAGGAGGTAGAGGTGCTTACTTATGCTCATGGGCTTACAAGTCCCTGTTTATTTGTGACCGTTGTCTTCAAATACAGGTCTCTCACAAGCCCAAGTCACTCGCTCATATTCAAGCTGCCTCTCTGCCATATGTGGCTCTCACAGCCTGGTCTGCCATAAACAAGGTTGGTGGCCTGAATAACAAGAACTGCATGGGAAAACGGTAAGTCTCCTAACGGCGGCATCTACGCACGCCTTCTGTCCTTTGTTAGTTCTGAGCAGTAGGTTTATCAGAAGCATTAAGATGAGTATTACGTACATGATTGAAGTTCTGCTGGCACTGGAAGCAAGTTCCAAAGAACTCTTTGAACTGAAATGCGTAGAGGGGTTCCAGGAGTCCAAACCTTCTAAACTAATGTACAATGTAGAGTGGGAGCATCCAAGGTCCATAGCGTTTATCATATTCCTACAAAGGTTACAAATTATTCCACACACTTTCTAAGAATGATGTCAAGGTGAAGGGTTTTTTTTGTTTGTGTTTGTGTTTTTGGTGGTGGGGATTAAACTCGGGACCTTGCACTGTGGAGGCAGGTGGCAGCACCACTGAGCTAAATCCCCAGCCCGAAGGTGTTTTATTCATACACTTTCCAGGAGCTGCTCTCACATTTGTGTATTTCTTCTTCTTCTTCTTTTTTTTTTTTTTTAGTTTTTTGGGACAGGGATTTGGTTTTGCCATGTAGTTCAGTCTGGCCTTGAGCTCATGACAGTCTTCCTGCTTCAGCCTCCCAAGTGCTGGGATTACAGGCGTGCGCCACCATGCCCTGCTTTTATTTGTGCATTTCTGTGAAAAGCAAATATGAGGGGACTGCAAACCACTGTTGAATATTCATGATGTTTAGGCCCATTCTGATGCTCTGAAGACTTGAATGTATGCTTATTTAAGTGGTGCCAACATATTGTCCAGAAATGTCTCAGATGTACAGTCATTCTCCCACCTGCGGGCTCACCTTCCTCACTTTCAGGTAACCTGTGGTCCATTGTGGTCTGAAAGGATGAAGACAGCACAGTAAGATGTTTTAGAGGAACTGAGAATGAGAGGGAGAAGACCCCATGTTCAGATAATTTTATGACCTGTAGTTATGTGGCGCTATATTATTACGTTTTTGTTGATTTCTTACTAGTTCTAGTTTATAAATTAGACTTTACCATAGGTATAGAAAAAAAAAAAAACAAAGTAGATACAGCGGGGTGCCAGGAATTTAGCTCAGTGATGCTGCTCCCTGTCTCGAAAGTGCAGGGTCCTGAGTTCCATCCCTGGTACCAAAAAACAAAAACAAAGTAGATACAGGGATCAGTGCCACCTGTGGTTTCAGGTGTCTGCTGAGGTTTTACAGCATATTCCCTGTGGATAGGGGGACTGTTGTATTTGAGATCATATCCAGATTCTGCTGCTTTCTAGCTCAGTGACTTACTCAATTGATTTTTTTTTTTTTGTCTATGAATTTGTTTTGAAGATTAATGACACATAAAACTGGTGGCACGGGTTGTGGCACATAGGCACTCAGAAAATGGTGGCTGTTAGCAAGGACATAATATTTGCTTTATAAAGTTGGTACCGTAGAAAAAACTGATCATTTTTTCTTGTTGAGAAAGCTGTGCTAAGAATCATTCAATTAATGTAAGGGAGGGGAGAGCTGTAGATAAAATTATAGTAAATTAAAACAATATAGTTCTTTTTCTTTTTTTGGTACTGGGAATCAAACCCTGGACTTTGCACTTGTGAGGCAGGTGGCAGCACCACTGAGTTAAATCCCCGGTCCAGTATAGTTCTTTTTTATTAAGGGATTTTGCAGGTAAATTAAAGTCTATGTCATTGTATGTTCCTGTTATGAAATAGTGCACTTTACATTTAATGTACTGAGGGATAAAGTGCTAAATTTAGTAAAAGTTTAAACAATGTTTCTGAAAGCCTTGTGAAGACTGTTCATTTAATGAGGTACTATCATTTATCATATAATTCAAAGCAAATATTTAAAGGTCAACCTTATTTATGTTGTCTGTCCTATCTTTTGAAGTTGCCATTTTGGTCAAACTGTTTGCATTAAATGTATTTGACCACAGATTTTTCTAATTTTTCTACTCTTAACCATGCAAAAATCTCACTCCAGATTTTGTTTTCTGATACGACTGCACATTTATTACTTATTTGTTTATTTTTCCCATTAAGTTTATTGGTACCTTTTAGGTATACATTACAGTTACATCCATCATTGGGATCTTGTACCTTTACATGATGTATCTTGGTTCTTATTTTTTCTCCATTCCCCTGCCCTCCCTTCACCCCTCCACTCTTTCCAATTTACAAATACTTTTTTTTTCCATTTTCCCCTTTTCTCATATTTTTTCTTTTCCCTTCTTTCATTTCCCCTACTCCTTTCACTTCCCCTACTCCTTTAGGTATTTTCTTACTATTACACGTTATCAATTATATATCTTGAATCTTACTTACACTTTTAGTTTTTCACACCAGAGAAACTATTCAGTATTTACACATGTGTATCCTATTTATTTCACTTAAGAGTATGGCCTCAATGGTCATTCACTTAGCTATAAATGTCTCTAGTTTCTCATTCTTTATGGCTGAGTAGTACTCCATTTTATTAAAAAAAAAAACAGCACATCTTATTTATCCAGTCTCCATTTGATGAGCCATTGGGCTGTTTCCTACTTTTAGCTATTTTCACTCCAGGTTTTTTAGACCTTTGTTGCTGTTGTAGGCTTTGCAATGACATTGATGTTTTGTTTTATCCCCCGCTTAAAAGCATTAGCCTTTCTGTGCCTGAATGACTACATATATACTATGGTCAGAGAATTTGCATTCCTTTGTTTTAAGGCTCTCTAGGAATACTTTTAATATACTGTTGAAAGTAATTTAAGACAAAAATCTGGCTGGCTGTCCTTGAATGTAGGTATGAACTCCTGGCTTGCTGTTGGCTTTGTGGATAATTCTCTGGTATGCTGTTGTGGTCTATTTCGGCAGTCATGGCCTGAACTGGGAAACTGGAGCCCCATATCCTCCACTCTGCCAGCACATAGGCAGGAGATCACATACAATGTCTGGTCTCTTTGGAGCGTCCTCCTAGTCACTGCGTATAGGGCACTATGTGAACCTGTGGCATGTGTGTCACCGTGGGCTGTTTATATCATTGAAAATTCTAAAAGATTTGCCACCACTGGTATAGTTAGTGAGTCTGATTGAGAAGTGGCTAATTTTGTACCTTATTGAGGCCATTAACTATATTATATAGTTAGATCTGTTCATTGATTTTCCCATGTTAGTCAACCTAAAGTAGAATTCATTGTAAAGCGACTTGGTCATTACATCGTGAACCTCTCTTGTACCCTCATATGCATGGTGACCTGTGGGATGCATATGTTGTGAGCTGTAGAGAGATCCTGATGTCCATCTCTTCAGGCTGCTATAACAAAATATAAATTGGTGGCTTTCTCAGTTCTGGATGCTGGAAAGTTCAAGATCAAGATAAGATTCCAAGTCTGATGAGGGCCAGCTTTCTGGCTCCTGGACAGTGTGTTCATGCTTTCCCTGTCATGCCGGAAGGGGCCAGTTGATATTTTGTGGGTTACTATTTAAAGCATTGACCCCATTCTTAAGGGTTCTACCTGCATGACCTAAGCACTTCCATACCATTACGTGGGTTATACTTTCAACACCTGGATTTTGGGCAGATTCAGACATCATTTGGGTGCTAGCACTTAACACTTGTCAGTTTACTGAAGTCGCTACTCATGGACTATAATTGCCCACCTCTTCTTTACTTATTAGTGGGAATTATGAGAGATGAGCACCTTAAAGAACTATAAACATCTTTTCCTTTTTTGCAGTGCTTGGCACCTGTTGGGGAAGTGCTGTACCACTGAGCTCCATCCCCAACCCAATAGGAGTTCTAATGAAGACATTATACAGTGGCATTGTATTGTACTTAAACTCAGAGGTTCCAGTATCCTAAGTGAACTTTTTTTTTCACTCTGACTATTCATTATGATTGATGGAACATATTTTGGCTTCTCTAAGCAATAATTTTTCTTTTTCTGTAACCTACAGTGTTAGCATAAACGCACACTTTAGTTTGTACAAAACAGGTCAATATTTGTTATCATGTACTAAGTCTTGTATGTTTTGCTTTTTAACCATTCAATTAAGGAAAAAGAGAAAAAGCAAAAACTAGTGGTAATAAGATGAGCATAATGATGTACACCTGTAATCTCAGCTACTTGGGCAACTGAGGCTGCAGGATCACGGGTTCAAAGCCAGCCTAGGCAACTTAGTGAGACCTTTTCTCAAAATAAACATAAAAAGTGTTGAAGATGTGACTCAGTGGCGAATGCCCCGGGTTCAATCTCCAATACTGCCACAAATGTAAAGAAATGAAAAAATTCACTATTAGCATCTTGAAAGATTTTATAGGCTCTTTTGTAACTAGCAACTTCCTGAAATTAAGACAGTGCTTTCTAAGAGTTCAGTGGTGTTTACCTACTTGTTCTTTCTTAGTTCTCTAATTATGTTTGTGTAACAACTGAGCCTTGGTGAACCAAGAGGAATTTACTGTTGATGTCATATGTCAATTTTTCTATACTTTGGTGTCACTAAACATGCCAGATTGAATTATTCCCTGTTATCAACATGTCTGTAGTTTCTTTGATTTATTTGTAGGTAATTTAGGGCTCTAAAGATGAACAGAAATATTTTAAAAAGTTGTTACATCCGATGCTTCCTGAATATGGTACAGTCTGAAGGTTTTAATTATTGGTAGTATCTTCTGTGTCCTTAAATATTTCATGCTCTGCCTGAAATTCATCTCTTTCTGGGAAAATTGTACTTCACTCTGTTGACAGAAGTATTAGAAAGTGTTAGAAATCGAACCATTCCACTTCCACAAAATAAATTTCACTTTTAAGTTCTGTACACTGGAAACGCAATACAGTGAATTTAGCGATCATTTTTCAGTTTCTTTTTTGACATTGGTCTCTATGACTGGAAGTTTGTCATATAAGTGTAAATTAGGTATCTGACTATTCTGTTTATAAACAGGCTCAAACTTAAAAACACCGATCCTCCTCCCAGTATGTTCATATTAAAATTAAAATGGCCATTTGGCCATCCCAGGAGCTTTCCTTCTTCCTATGCCTTCCACTGCCTGTGCT